GAAGTCACCGTGAACTAGGGGCCTGCAGGCACTGATGGTGGCCCTCCAGTGCTGCATTGATACTCCAAGCTTCAATTACGATTGCTGCTTCCTCCTGTTTGATCTCCGCTGCCTCCTGACGGCTTCCCTAGAGTCAAGAGTTCGGCTTTTGAAAGCTGCGTTTGGCCCGAGCCCTGGCCGTGCCTCACTCGGCAAGGCCTAGGGCTTGGTTTCCTCAGCACTGCCCTCGGCCACAGCACAGCGCACGGAAAGAAACCCCACAGGCGGAGGAGAGAGGGGGAATGTGAGCCCTGGCCGTGCCTCACTCGGCAAGGCCTAGGGCTTGGTTTCCTCAGCACTGCCCTCGGCCACAGCACAGCGCACGGAAAGAAACCCCACAGGCGGAGGAGAGAGGGGGAATGTGGGGTTTCTGCAGCTGGGGGCATGCGGGGAAGAGAGCCGGGCCGCGTCTCCGTGCCCCGGTTACAGGCCCTGCCACAGCCGGGGGTGGAGGAAGGGGAGAGGAGCAGCGGGACAAGGAGGCCCAGCATCAGTCGCCGCCGGGCAAGCACCGCTCCTGCGGATGTCAGCGCGCGGGGGTCTGAACCACGACAGGCGGGGAAGCGGTTGTGCGGGCCCAGTTCAGCCGTCCGAGCTTTAAACGTCCCTCGTGGTAGAGAAACAAAAACAGGGTTGGAAGGCAGCAGGCGGGAACGATGGAGGCAGGCTTTCCTTCTCCGAAGGGGACATTCTGGCTCAGATGTTCTGCAGTCTTAGTGTCATGGGGGACCTGAATGTTCTCCCCACAAGCGTCTACAAACTACTCGCCGTTGCTGTCACCTCTGTAGACACCAGGAAGGATTTCTCTCTTGCATCTCCCTTAACAGGCACAGGCAGAGACAGTAAAAGTCTACTTTTCCCTGAAAATCACAACTAATACAACAAAATAAAGCAAAATAATTAAAACGTTAAATTTTTCCCTGTGAGACTTTTATACAGCAGTCTTAGTGGAGAGAGAGGCATGAAAACACCAGGCCTGTAGGTATCAGAAGAGCCTTATACTTCCACTGACACAGTTTTGGTACAACTCTCAAGACAGGGTGCGGTTTCCCTCGGTCCCTCGTATGCCTTTTCAGTGCAGGATGACTCAAAAGAAGATAAAACAATTAATACTCGTTTTTACTGGTTAAACAGAGGCTATTTGTAGTTAGTACTAGGGCTCTACGTCTCGCCCTGCTGCCCTCTGGACAGAAGCATCCAATTGACCCTTGCACTTTTAAATCACATAACTTTATTTTTTTTAGTAAACTAGTCATACATCAACATCCAAGGAGCTCCCTACCCAGATTCTCTAAAGTTATTTAAGTCACTTTTAAAACCTCTTCAATTGTGAAGCCAAGCATTAACTGTTTTAATTTAGTCAGATGTGTTGCTAACTCTGACATTGCCCCCACTAGCAGGAGAGGTGACTCGGACATTTGATAATACAGCACTGTACTAATAGCACACACACAGAAGTCAGTAACTAAGCTGACACTTTACAATATTTGCTGATTTATAGGCAGCTAACCATGCTGCCAACAGTGGAGAAAAATCAGAAACAAAGCTGCAGTTCTCCTGCCCACCCAGCAAAACAGAGTTGGAAGATTACAGCACTGGCTGCTCCAGAAGGCCGGTATTTAAATACAGTCTATAAAAAAAACTGCAGGAGTGCATATTTGGAAGAGGTGACGTTAGGACGGCAACCAGAGCCAAGCCACAGAGGAGTATTTACTTGCATTAAAGGAAGAGATTTGGGACTCAAAAAAAGGCAGGAGCAGCAGTGGTTGTATGTCTAAATCCAGAGCTATTTAGTTAATTAAAGAATCCTTCCACCCATACAAAGTATTTTCATTATGATGAGAGACAAAAGAGCAAGCTGGTCCTAGGGTACTGCAGTAAGAAAAATTTCATATTACAGCCTTGCATTAGCACCTGGAGAGCCCATCATCACACTGTGTCCATTGGGACTACCTGCAACACCCACATTGCCATTTCAGCCAGGTGGAGAAGTTGCACATCCATGGAGTTCGCTCTGCAGCAGCCCAGACTGTTTGAAAGGTAGTTTAGCAAACACGGAAGAGGCTGGCAGTAAGTGGCAAGCTTCCTTGCCTGGGTAGCACACGCTCACTCATAAATCTCACGTAGTCCAGATGTGCCACCATTTTTCTGGGTTCCTAATTAAAATCAAAAGCTTGCCTTTTTTTTTTTTTTTGCCCCCTCCCCCCCCAATTCTTTTCTGCCATTCTAAGAGCATAGTCTGTGGTAGGATCTAGTGAATGAGGTCCTTCAATCTAGAGGAAAGTCATGCGACAAGGAAGGGCATGGTGCAGGGATGTTACTTGTCTTCAGCCTCACTATTTGTAGAATTACAATGCATGTGAGAAGGAGTTGCTCAGAATTTAATTGTGTGTCACAGGGCAATTTATAGCTATCTAATCCAGCAAATTGCTAATCTGTTCTCAGATTTTTGATATCCTATTGATTAGGCTATAAATTACTGCGTCGAATTGCTTCCCCATTCCCCCAAGAATGCAATTACATAGCACGTAGATGATATGCTATATGATACCAACCCATTCTAAAATATTTGCAGATATTAACTATCGGTAGGATGCAGAGTAAGAAAAGAAGGGTCATAAAGCCTAGCAATTAAGAAATAATTAGAACTGAAGCAATAATTTGTTTGTTATATCCAAGTTCAAATCAAACAGTAAATTCCAATGTAATATTTCAGTCCTGTGTGTGAATCATTACTTGTGGCATAAAAGGGAATGAAGTATTTTCAAGTGTCCACACCTATTATGATTGGCAAGGGAAGAAAGATTTGGAGACTGAAAAGGTTGCCCAAGGTGACTTGGCAGCTCCAGGCTTTTCTCTCAGTTTCACTGCTTCGCTGGGCTTTTCTGCGGGAAATCTTTGGTTTCTGGCATTATGCAGCTCTCTAATGATTCCAGGTATTTTCAGAAGAGGCTGAACTCAAGCGTGTACCTCGCATCAGGCAGCCTCCGCCCCCAGTGAAGATTAAGGTATCTAAGGTGATACCTGGTTCTTGGCCTGTCCTGCAGGATCAGTCCCCTGGGCAGCCGAATTTGCTAGGACACACAGGGGAAGACTGACAGCAGACAGTACCCGCGGTGCCCACCAGCCCGCTCCTGCCGCAGCTTCCCAGAGGAGAGGAAATGTGTCCTAGGACACATTTTTAAGGACTGACCAGGCTTCTTACCAAAGTCTAGGATTCATTTTGCACGAGGACAGGGATAAGTTTAGAGAGAAAATCCCGCTTATTAAAAGGGGATGGGGAGAGGTTGAAGAAACACTCAGTTTCGGATGCCTCCTTGGCCTGTTCCTGCTTACCTATGTTCTGCAGGGTGATCTGGGCCCTGAAGTATGATTCGGTTTTCCTGGCACAGCTTCCATGAGTTTTTAATTGTTTGTTTGGGTCTCCTTTAACTGGTGCCTTCTCCAGTTAGCCTAGTTCTCTGCAGGCACTAAGCAAAGCCTTTACAAATCACTTGCTCTCCCAGCTTGCAGTTTCATAGTGCTGACGTTCAGCACAAGTAGTCCAGATAAATTTGAATTTCACTGATAACGCAACAGCTCAGGTACCTTCACTTCTTGGGCACCTCTGTTTCCTGGAAGAGGTCAGACTACACCTTTCCATACTAGCCATAGGGGTTTTTTCTTTGTTCTTTTTAACACAAACACATTTTCATAACGAATGCTCCCTGGGTTTGCAGATTTTAAAGTTTTCCCAATAAATCCTAAAGTATACTTCATGCCAGCATTCTTAGCAGGTAACCACACACAAGTTGCCATCTGAAAAACTTTTAAAAAACTTGCATCAAAACCCTTTTTTAGTTAAAGTCTACTTGGCGGTAGCCAAAGCTACCTGGGCACAGACAGCATGCTATCACCTCGTTTGCACTCGCTTGGTGGAACTGAGTTTGGTAGAGCAAGCTTTGTACCATCTACATCCTGATCAGGAAAGAAGCTATGAGAATACTAGGGAACTTAGAAGAAAGGAAAAAGGTAAACCCTGAGATCTTCATCCCTGCGTGAAACAATAGAAAGACTGGAAAAGAACAGACTATTAACAGAGACCAAGTCAAACCAAAGGCCACAAAGTACAAAGGGCAAATGAAGGTGGAAAAAGAAAGTCACAGAAAATGTTCAACTTTGAGGTTAGAAAAAAATGGGTTCTGTGACATACTTTGGAAATTCTGTGAATCTGCAGGAAAAAAGTCATTAAACACTTAGAAGAAGTCATTCTTCCCCCTTGGTAGATCATCAGCAATCTAGGACACTTCAGTACAGCTAGCTGCATGCAGGCTCCCCGCTTAATATCACACATTTTTATTAAGTCAGACAACTCCATTGGCTACTTTTCCTGTGTCTTAATGAACACTTAGCACAGGGACAGAGCACCTGCCTAAAGCAGCAGTTGGCAAAGCCATGGCAGTACTGGGAGAAGAGGAAAGGTTAGAAAACTTGCCGTGTAGCTGGGTCATCACTGAAAGCATCAGCCCTCTGTGCGTGAAATTCACCTGTAGGGCTGAAGCTCTCCCAGATTTCTCAGCCTTTCATTAATTCCTTGTTGGTTAACCTTGCATAGAGGTAGCTATCAGTATTTCATGAACAGAATAGCAAACATGTAGAAAAATTTACCAAGGTAGGCAATTAAGGCAGTATGCGTTAGGTTTAATCACCTTTTAAAGGATGACTAGTACCAACATTTTCACGCTCGGGTGCTCCAAGTGACCTGAGTTGCTTCCAAGTTCCCAGCGCGGGACACGGGAGGTGTGCTGGAGCCAGGCGGTAGATCCAACCAGTGGATGAATCTACAGCTGAAAAACATTCTACAGAAAGAGGAACAGGGCTGTTGTGACAAGGCAAAGCACAGGATGAAGTGGAAACAAGCAGCACCACATGGTTTTTTCCCAGTACCTCAGAGAGAGTACAAGAGAATTCTGTGTGCGACAGTTCTCTCCCGTTCAGACCTGCAGGAAGGCACCGCTCCCATCCCCACCTCCAAAACCTCAAGTGAAGCAGTTAGGAGAACGCGTCTGCCCACTGAAGTGGCCCCAGAGCAATTGTCTAAGGCATCTCTGTGCTAGTTATTGCATCGGCTGCAGTGCTGCTAGAGTTGTACGGCAGCACATTACTGTACAGATATTATTTAAATATCTGTAATACCTTGAGTACTCCAATGTGGAGAGATGCCCTGGAAGCAGGGCGGGGTGCTCTCAGCAAAAAATGCATTTGGTTTTGGATCCCTACTGGAAAGTACGTCAGCTCTTGAGCAGAAGTTATAAAGGCCCGATGATAGATTTATGTAGAACAATTACACGTTTTTGTAGAAATATTGCATTTAATTGCAGAACTATACATCTTGCTATGTAGAACTGTTCTTCTTCATTCCTATAGAACAGTAAACCTTCCTACATGCAGCATTTTGATTGCTATTGCATAAAGCCTCTGCTGTGCAATTGTAAATACAGCTGGTGCTGCAGTGCTTGTCATTTACAGGAAAAAAAAAAAATCGGACTAATATTCACTAATTTTCACCAACACCAGAATCCTCTTGAAATACATTTAAGGCAGGCAAAGCTCAATAGAAATACATGGGCATCAGCTAACACACTGCTTTAACAGCCTGAGGCTACACAACTTTTACATATCAAATAGCAACAAATGTTATCTACAAGCTTACAAGAAGAGAAGGGAGGTGCAGTGAGTTGAGGCATTTCAAACACTTTCAAATATTATTCTGCAATAAACGACATACGAAGAGCATGGCCAGAAGTGAATTTTGTCTGCCATCAAGAAGGTGATCTGTTGCTGCCGCGAGAAACTTGGGGGTTGGAAAAGCAATACTAATTGGTCATAGCAGAAGAGTGTCAGACCTCTACTGCTACTTAGATTTGCACCCTGTAGAGGCCTTCGTGAGTGGGACGTGCACTCCAATCCCGCCTAGGCCACCCGCGGCACTGTGGTACTTCTCATGGTTTGTGAAAGCGGGATGAAACAAGCTGGATTGTGAGACACATTCAGAAATTGTGTCTTTGTGACTGCTCAGGCAAAGGTCATCCTCCATTCACTTTGCCCTGGACACAGTGGTCTCCAACATGCCCAAAGCTCATGGATGCAGCTGTTTCACAAGCAAGCAACATATTGGATGGCTAAAGATAAAGAGGCAAGAAGCACGGTGCCAGCAGGGTCAAGGCAGGCCAGTGGGAAGCCGATGTGAGTGCTGTTGCTCAGGGTGCATTTCGTCTGTGGCCAACACGCTTTTTCAGGATTCCCAAAATAACACTTATGAACAGCAGATTGACTGGGAAGCACGCTACTTCGCTTAATGCCTCCTACTGTCCCTGCCAGACTCCTACCCCAGTCAGTCTCCTGAAGCTGAAGAGATGGAAAACCTAAGAAATATCGAAAGGTAGCAACTTTTTATAAAACGTCTACCATCAAATTGTATGGCAGATATTCAGCATCGCAAAAGCTACCTTGAGTCAGTTTTGTTTTATCTTCAGACACCAAAACCCAAAGTTTTTATTTTGCTAACAAATACATTTTGGAACCGCATCCTCCCCCTTAATCCTCTGTAACTTTTTCTCAGCGCATGTTGCACCATCTATTTCTAAAGATTTCCACTACAAATATATGGGACTATTCAGTTCCCCCCATTCTCCAACCCCATTATATCTTAGCTTTCATTAAGATTTTCTAGGACATTTCAGGTTTTCTCAACAGCTTTGAGGCACTTGCTGGGAGGGAATACATTTCCAAACTATTTGTTTTCTCATGAAAACCGGGTTTTGCCTAAGTGCCAGAATCAGCAGACGTTTTATAAATAGCTTTGGACAGATGACAGGAAATGAAGCAAGATCTCAGGCCACTCCACAGAGGGCAACTGTCTGAAGTGCTCAGAAAGAGGGACTTGCACCATTGACTACTACACAGGGGGCGGGGGGGGAAATGCACAGAAGCATCATTTACTGCAGAGGGTATCAGGCTTATGAAACACAAGATCTCTGTCTTATTATAGCTCAAGCACAAAGTCTATTTGCTTGCAACTACACTACAATGAAAAACAGGAAAATTAAATTTTCCTTCGAAGAGGAAAAACTGACCAGAATTGTCTAATTTGCCGCTTTGTCTTTTGCTCTTGAGGAGGAGCTTTCCCCTCCTAACACGCTATAAATGCCAACACACACATTGGAGGTTCTCCAGACTCCGACTGGTGCCAAACACTGGGATCATCTTCTTATCCTGGCATTTCCCATCAGCTTCAGCAAATGCTCTTCCAACTCAGACTGCTTAAATGGGCTCCAATAATAGTTGCTTAGAGGTTAATCTGTATCTATTCATCTGATCCCAAGAGCTATCTGTTCCTCTTCGCAATAGTAATACAGGATGTAGAATCAACTCTCCGTCTCATTTTGTTTCTCTCAGCTTCCATGAAGATAAAACCCAGTAATTTATCCCCAAATAAATGCTTTATTTGGAATAGGGGCAAACTCTCAGCTCTCTTAAGTCCATGACAAAAGTCTCACCAGATTTAACTTCAACACAGTGACGCCAGCCTTCTCCCCCACTACCAAGTCGCTCCTCTTTCTAACAGCAGCAAGCACCTCTCAGCCCACTCCTCACCATGCTTTCACACCACTGATGACTGAACAACGTGCTATACATGGAAGACTCCAAGTATTAGTGAGAAATAGATAGCGCACCTCCCCAGCAGATGCGCTTTTTGAGTCATTCAGTCCAGAGGGAGGTGCATTTGAGTCCTCTACGTTCCCGCACTGCAGTTAAGCATCGCAGGGGGCTGGAAGAGTTGGCCTTGAAGCAGCCACAGACCTGTCTCCTTTCTGCACTGGGCACTAGAAGTGCAAGAGTGTGCAAGCGCACCACTCCTCTGCACAGGGGCATCGTCATAATCACCCACAGCGCGTTCTCCCGCAGACCCAGCGCTGGGGAGGCTAGCCCGAGGCTTCTGCTGAGATTTTACTTTATCAGAGAATTGCTTATTTGATCCCTCTCGTGACCATACCTCAGAGGCATCCTGCTTTCAGGATTGGATGGTTTCTACCCATCTGTTCCCATGACAGACAGAACAGCCTAGAAGTGCTCCTACCTATGAAAGGAGTAAATAATACATGATGCATTTTTTGAGCTTTTGTACTGAGTAACTGATTTTACCCATGATCTAAATTTCTGTAAGTCTAAAAAACTTGATTTTTTTTTGTTTGTTTGCGTTAAAGACATTAAATATGACTGAATTTTTGTTATTTTGGAAACATAGGATTTATTACCTCTATTAGATGTGTGACAGTGCTGAAACTGGGCCATCTGAAACTCTCTCAGTTAAAGAGTGTGCAAACAGAAACGGAATACGTCTGTCCCTGTATGCATTCCAGTACGTAAAAGCAAATCCACTTGTTAGTGGGTGTTTGCACACTGTGTGTGTGCAGGAGAGAAGGGTGCAAGAGAAGGTGGACAAGGCTGTCAGCCACTGCAGAGCTCAATGAGAGCTCCAGTGCATGAGATCCAATTGTCCTTAATGACCACAAGCATAAAAAAACCCTGAAATTGTAAACCCAGACTTCATTCTTTTCTGCACTTGGAAAGAAATCCTGTATATCTTTTTTGCTTCTTGACCTACGAGGACATGTGTCTCACATGCCTATCCACTGCACCACTGGATAGCCTCCTCCACAGGGACACGCTCTTCTTGTGCACGGCTCATGCAGACTGCTTCTCAGAAATACCTCCATAGGATACCCCAGTGCTGAGAAATCACTAAGCAGCAGTCCTAAAAGCAGAAAGTTATCTTGTATAGGTAACCATTTCACTGCATAGTTATGCCTAGAGGTTCTTTCATGATCTTAATAGTGAGATTTACTTTGCAAGTGAGTTGGAACTAAGAACGGTTAAAGAGGTAGAGAAACCTTCTGCTTTTTAGTGCATCAGCATTCTCTTATCTCCAGCATATCTCTAAACAGTTTTCAATCGCATTCGGTCAAAAGCTGTTAAACCAAAATTTAAGAGATACCACATACATCTAATGCTACATTTCGTGACAGGGGAAAAGGTATTCCTCCCTCATTCTTTGTGTTTTATGAAACACTGGAGAACCATTTAAGCCTCAGTTAAAAAAAAAAAAAATAATTTGCTGATAAACCTATTTTAGTAAACAAAAAAAGTTTCTAACCATTATCTCAAATTTCTTCTTATTTTTTAATCTGGACACTCCTAAAATAAAAGCAATCAAGATGATTCAAAGAAGAGGAGTTTCAACCTTTGGAGCAACTCTAAATGCAAAACTTAGTTCTCATGATTGCTGCAATTCAACAGACTCCAACATGCTCATAGTGTTCACGTGTGCTCCGCGACCTCGCCCAGCATTGCCCTGGATGACAGCAAGAGCTACCACACGCTTCCTATCTGTAATCTGATGTCCCCAGTGGCTCACAGCACCACAAACCAGCTGAAAGACCTTCTTCTGTTCCCTTGCATCCATTACCACAGAAGTTAGGTGCACAAATCCATTCACTCGTATTCAGTAGTGGGAGACTATTTGCGACAAGGTCAGGCTGCGCAGTGGGAGATCTCACTTGGCCACCCAAAGCAATGAAGAATCAGGCTTCAGCCACCAGACAACAGCGGGCAAACTCTTCCTGGTAGTCTGTGTCGTGAAATGGTGGCCCAGAGGGGTAAGACTGCAGCTCACAAACCTGTCAGCTTTTCCTTGCTATTAACTTTTCTAGGACAGCCAGCCTCTCTAGCTACAGACTGTCTTGGAAAAGGTATATCCCAGAAATCAAGGATGGACACAAGTCTCAGCCCTTGCTTTCAGAGTCGAACCATCCTGCCAGGGCTGGACTAGGAGTCTCACTACCGCTGCCCAAACCATCCTGCTCCAAGGGCAACTCCAGGGAGGACTTAACACTCTCAAGCCTGTCTGTCAGAGATGCTTCACAAAGACTTCACAAGACAGCGCAATATTCATCAAAACCAAGTTGGTGGTTTTCCCTTCAGCCCAGCGAAGGTTTCAAGATGTCAGCTGTTTATTTTTTCCTGACAGACTACCCGAGCTGGTATTTCCACAGCTGCGTGGACTATCTAAATACTTTCAAGAAGTACAGAGTAAAGTGAGATTATTATGGTTTCTGATAATATCCCTGTTTAAATAATTAAGGCAATTAATTTGCTTGTAGTAAAAATGATTCAAGGACTACATGTACAATTTGTGATCAAAGTACTACCCTGTACCCCATGTTTATCATCCTAGGTCCAGTGATATTTGTTAGTAAACAATACAAATGTAATCATTGCTAGGCGATGGTAAATCAGTGGCAAGGCTTGAACAAGCTGTTGTCACGTAGGAAAACTTCAACCAAGAACCTGTGGTAACTGCCGAAATCAAGTGAAACAGCAGGGTAGTAATGGAAACTTTTGAACCTTTCCACACAGAGGAACAAGAAGATTTATCTTCCTGATTGCTCTAATGTTTCAGATAGCAGGAGAACATGGGAATATGGGCCTTAATGTCAGCTAGTAAACTCTGACCTTCAAAGGGAACTCCATGTGACATGACAATCACAGTAATCAGAACAAGCTCTGTCTGCTCTGATACAGCTTTACTGCATGAGCAGATACTCCTTTTTCTCCTCAGAAGTGCTCAGTGCTCTGCTTCATTCATTGCACAAGACAGATAGTGCTCACCTGATTGCCAGTAAATGGGTACCAAGAAAAAATAAAACCAGTGTACTGCACTGTGTCTTATTCATCACACGTTGCCCCGGACTGAGGACAGAACCACCAGGGTTTAAGGGCTCTGCAAATACCCATTAAATTAATTTCTACAATCTGCAAGAATGTCAGGATATTATCATTTCCACTTTCCTGAACTGAGTCACAAAGATCAAGGTCACAGTAGTCCTTAATAGCAGGTGCACAATTTAAGATTGCTAGAACTGAATTTGGCAAGAGATTGGTACTTTATTCCACTGTTCAACTTTTCAACCCACTTTTCAAAGTGATTGGTACTTATTGCACCAAGTGCAGATCCCCAAAGCTCTGAGTTCTCAATTTCTGCAAGTTATTCTAGGCTTTGTCCAGGCAGTTCTGATTTTCCCCAGCACCAGAAGCCCCCAAATAGCTATGCTTGTTCACCCCGAGTAGCTGTGTTTGCACACCCTCCATACCAGCCTCTCCACTCCCTTTCAGCTGCTCACCTAGTTTCTCCAGGTCTCCTCCCATTTCCCAGTTTCTATTTTCTTTCCTCCTTTCCAGTTCAAATCTCATTTTTACAAGATTTTTCTCTCAACCTACTCCTTAAAAATTTCCTACCTATTTGGTCCATGTTTCTTCTGCACGTGAGTCAGGTAGCTACCTCCAGCTTCTTAACTGCAGCCAACAGGAGCCACTAAAAGCAGTGCATGGGAGGAACAGTCCACTTACATTTAATTAAGGTGCCCAAACCCAACACAGCCTGCAGCAGCCCGTAGATACAGTCACAGGAAAATCTCTGTTCAGAAGCTGACTGGGCTGGAGCACACCCAGGACCGACAGACAGCGTGGGAATTTATCTGCTACCACATCTATCCAGTCTGCAAAACCTGAGGTCTCCAGTTCACAGACATCAAGAGATTTTCCACCAATATAAAACACGCATCTTTGATTCTGGATTTCAAGAGTGCCCCCCTCTTCTGGAAGAGGCAAGAGCCTTTTAAAAAACTTTTTTTTGTTTGTCTGTTTTTAAGGAGGGCAAGATCAATGCTCTCCTCCACCCTGGTTCTTGTAAATGACAAAATATTTAAGCAAAACATTCCAGCAAAGTTCAGATTTGGAACTATACCTGGCACAAAAATCTTGCCATCCAAAGAATTAGCCGCCAGCAAAGTCATAGTCTATTGAAACCGAGGCAAGCACTGAGACGAAGGCAATCCCAACA